GCAGCCCAGGGGGAGAGGGCTCAGGCGGTTAGATAGACGGTCCCTGTCACCAATAGCAGCCTCCAGCTCTGGCCCTGCCCTGCCTCCGGGCTATCGTCACCCCAGGGACACGGAGGAGCCAGGAGTCCTCAACAGCAGCTCTTCCCGGGGCCAGTCCTCAGGGCACTGGCCTGGGCTGTAGGGGCTCTGGGTGCTGGGTGGCCGAGGGGTGGGGGAGGGGCAAGCATGCGGAAGCCCCTGCTCTCAGTGCGCTGGTGAGAGGGCTGGGAGGAGACAAGGAAGCAGCGTGAAGGTGTGCGGACCGGGGCTGGGGCAGGTGTCGGCCAGGTTGGCCAGGAGTGGGCATGGGGACGAAGTGGCGGGAGGGAGATGTGTACTTGGGCTGAGAAGGAAGGTGGGAGGTGGCCACCGGGAGGTCTGAGAGCAGCAGTAGGACCCTCCTCTGGACGGCGGCTGTGGCCTCTGGCTTTAGGGAGACGATTAGCCTGCGCTCCCTGGGGAGAGTCACTGGTGCCTATCCAGGCCTCTCCCAGGTGGATGCCCCGGGCCACCCGTAAGTGGGCAGGGTGGGCTGGACATCCCTGTGGGATGGGGGTGAGGAGATGGAAGGTGGGAGGAGGGAGACTTCCAAGGATCAGGGGCTTGGGCTCCACTCTCCTGGAGTACAGGGTACCCTACCTGACAGTCTGCATGGCCAAGGGCAGAAGGAAGTCTCAGGGACGGGCAGATAGATGGTAGGAAGGGTGGATGGATGGGTGAATAGGTAGATGAATGGATGGATGGATGGGTGGGTGATGGATGGATGAATGGCTCAGTGGCTGGGTGGATGATGGATGAATAGATGGATGGATGGATGGATGGGTGGATGGGTGGATGGGTTTATGGATAGGTGTATGGATAGATGGATGGATGGATGGATGGAAGGGTGGATAGATGGGTGGATGATGGATGGATGGGTGTATGCATAGGTGTATGGATGGATGGATGGATGGATGGGTGGATGGGTGGATGGATGGAAGG